CAAGGTTGCTAAGTGAATCCGGCTTCCTCATTGACTTTGCTTGTCAGAAAGTCATGAAAGGTGATCACATGACCCAGGGCACTGAAACCGTCATAGATACATGCCAGTTTCCAAGTGTCTGAAATTTGATCACGTGACCACAGGGGATGCTGCAGAAGTCGTAAAATGGTCATAAGTCACATTTTTCCAGGCCACTGTAACTTTGAATGATCACTGAATGAATGGTTGAAAGGACTACCTGTGATTTTATCTTACATGCCAGTGGATGCCTTACATCTTTTCTTCAAAACTCAACCTGTCTGAGAAGTGAAACTGGTCCAACATACAGAACAGTTTTGAAAGCTTTCTGTTTGGGTATTTTAATTTTGAAAATCCTCTTTAATATGGAATACATATACCGTAGTCATATGAGAGGGAAAAAACCAATTCAAAAGCAAATTAGCTTGAGAACAAAGTTTTTTTTTTTTTGCATTTCCAATGAATTTTATTTTAGAATTGCAAGGCCAAGCTGATTTTCTGTTTTTCTTAGTGTTCCCAAACTGAATATCTAGTTCTCTGCGGCCCTATACAGATCTTTGAAGTATTTGGCTACCGCCTTGCTTCAAACTCTTTGGCAATCATTTAATGACATGTATTTTGCAAATTTGGAGCACTCTTGCAAGATGGTTGATGGAGTCACATATCATGCTAAACCATTGTTTAATGAAAATTAAGTGTACTACAACTGGCTAGGTTCATACAATATGCTGCCATAAATCATGGTTTATAAACCAGAATGGTTGGGTGTAACACATTAAGCTGAAAAGTAAATAAATCACCTTCTGAATTGGCTGGTATGTTCACTCAATCTGCTTATACAGAGATTTAAGTAGCAAACATCCTGCCAGATTTAAATATCATCCAGGGGAAAATGTGTGTTGACTTTTGAAAAAAAGACTGTTTTTTAAATTGGCTTTATTTTTATTTCTAGTCTATACCTCGCCCTGAACTCTGCAAACTAAACCAGAGTTTGTGAGGGTCTGTGTGTGTGTGTGTGTGTGTGTGTGTGTTGGAAACAAACTATCATTGCTTGCAAAAACAATGCAGGTGGTCCTTGACTTACGACTATAATTCAGCCCAAAATTTCTGTTAAGTGAGATATTTGTTAAGTGAATTTTGCCCCATTTTATTACCTTTCTTGCTTCGGTTGTTAATAACTTCATTTGATAAGTTAGTAATACGGTTGTTAAGTGAATCTGCCTTCCCCATTGAGTTTGCTTGTCAGAAGGTTGCAAAAGGGGATCACATGATCTTGGGACAGAGCAATGGTCATAAGTATGAGTCAGTTGCTAAGTATATGAATTTCGATCACATGATCATGAGGAGGCTGGAAAGGTTGCAATTGTGAAAAACAGTAATAAGTCACTTTGTTCAGTGCTACTGTAACTCTGAACTGTCACTAAATGAATTGCTGTAAGTTGGGGACTACCTGTAATAGCTCAAATCTGTGTTATTTAACTATTGCCCTTGGGCCCCGTACAGCATTTGCAATCCCAGATTGCACCCATTTAAATTTCCCTCTTCTTCATATGCTCCAGCAAAAGAATGTCAACCTTTCCTCTGCAATGATTGTGTGCAGGAGCCACAACTGTTGTTCCTGTGCTTTTAACAGCTTTTTAATGTCTAAGAAATTGTCATGGCTATATAAAGCAAAATCACCTGCCCTTGTGCACAACCTTAATTGTGAATAAGGTGACAGTTCTTAATAGGATGCTAATGAGAAGTAACACCCATTTTCAAAAATCCCTGAGACTGCACTTTAAATATATCCTATACGGAAGGGAAGGGTGGGGTGGGGGTTAAGAAAGAAAGTAGGTTTTGCTCATTAAGCAAATTTTGTTCCATTTTAATTTAGAAGAGTCCAGCTGGAATATACCCAACTTTGAATGATTTTAATAAGCTAAGCTGGGTCAGACCTAATCAGGTCTGGCTGGGAAAATTTCATTACTGTAAATATTAGGGCTAAAGAGTTCAAAAAGGTCAGTTCCATATTGCCATCTAAAGTTCTAAATTGACTGTAAAATAACTCAAGCTCAAACAAAATATTTTTTTAATATACAAGAGGAAAGTTGCTTTACTAACTATGGCCGCCAGATGGAGAAATGTATTCTAAAACCGAGAGTTTTATATCAATCTGCAAGAAAAAAAAATCCCACCCATTTATCTTCTGTACCTATTTGTTAGTTATTTCTGTGCTTTAGCCCGTTTCTTTTTCTCAGAGACTCCATTCCTGTGGAATCCAGTGGGCAGTAATGTATTCTGGAGTATTTCTTCATATTTTGCAGCTTTACAAATATTTTGGAGCTTAGTCATTTGGGGAATAAATAAATCAAGCATTGAAACTTAATAAAAGTTATTGTGTATAATATATTCCAAACATATAAAACACAACTATTATTAAACTTTTCTCAATAATACTATAGGTCAAGTGTTATTTTACGCAGTTATGAAACTAGACGCTTAGCAAGATAAGCTGATGATTTGTGTAGCCCTACAAATAAACAATAGAACCATATCAATGCACTACCATATTACTTCGTATAGCCACATTCAATCTAGACTAAGTAGTTGACAGATATTTTCTGTGATGGTGGTGGAAAATGCATACACGTATAGTCTGATTATCTATCTATCTATCTATCTATATCTGAATACATGATTAAGCTTGTACTTCCCTAAAATAGACATGCTACCTTAAATATTTCTGGATCTTTCTCAAATGCATTAAATTGCTGTAGAAAACCAGTAATTATGTAATTACAACATATAATTACAGATACATATACATATATATATGTGTGTGTGTGTGTGTGTGCGCGCGCATGTATTTAAATGTGATTATGGAAAACACCTTGAGTATATCTGAAGACAAATGAATGCATAGATTTCATATACCGTTAGAAAGTTAAACAAGGTATAAATACCTTCATTTTAGAAATATTTGCATTTTAGAAATTAACCATTGAATGGACAGAGGAAAAAAAAACGTGTGAAAGTGTGCAATGTAGAAGTTAAAAAGTATAGAGTGGCAATATTATTCAATGGTTAGAATGTGGTATCCAAGATCTGGGACAGTTGAGTAGATAAATGTCACTACTTAGACTGGTTCTCTGAGGAGCTTCAATTTTTTTATCTGTAAAATAGCTTGAAGAAAGCTGAATGTCCTCGATAGATTTTTTTCAGAATAAATAATTATACCCCCCTGTAAGATCCTTTTATTTAGGGCAATTTGCTTTGTGTGTTTGTATCCTATTGCAGGGAAAGTTTTAGAAACAGTATCTAATATCTCAAGACTTTAATAAAAATAGTATTCGTATTTATTATATTATTATTTTATTTATTTACACCTGAGGGAAGAAAAGCAACAGATAATTAAAATCTTGACCCACAATTATTTTTGCTCCTATGTCCAAACTGAGCCAGGGACAGCTGGCAGTGCAGAATGCCAAGATAATAAAAACATGCCAAAAAATAAAGGAAGTTTGACATTTGTATACATTAAATATACTATATATTTTATATTTGGCCCAAATTAATTCCTCTTCACTCAATGAGGCCCAGGCAAGCCAAAAGATTGGACAACCATGTTTTAAACAATCCAGAAGCTTTTACAGGATCACAGCTGATGCTAGGTGTGCCACTCCATCAATTCACCTAAAAATACTTAGGGCTGAACGTGACTCACTTAGGCTAGCAGACAAATTAGAATTGGTCAGAGCAGACCCAAGAAGACTAAATGCTGAAAGAATAAACAACTTTGCACTCTGCTTTAAGCCATGCTTTGTTCAAAGCACGGCCCCTTGAATGATAGCCACAGTTGGCTGGCTCACTAAAGTCACTAAGTGGCTGTGTTTGTCATGTCATTTGGATACCGTAGTGGAAAGCAGCTCCTGTATTCCTGACCCAGCACTCTGTGTTAAAAATTAGCAATTGCGGACCCCGGGGGGAAAGAGGTATGGAGGAACTCACCTTCTACGTGCTTGGAGCCTTCTGAGATCTGGCAAGAAAGGAGCAGCAGCAGCAGCAGGGAGGCAAACCCAGACATGGTGTCACAAGACACAAGAAGTTCTTGGGAATCCTCAGTGTGGGAGAGGGATGGGGGGCTGCTTTCCGAGGGTGAGGAATGGGAGCCACCGGTCAGGGCCAGTCCTATGGAAGGAAAGGGTGATGACCGAAGATTCCTGGGTGCTGCAGGGATTGACTTGGTATTCTCTTCCGAAGGGTGAGGAGCAGAAGGACTCAGCCTTACAGGCTTGGTACAACTGCCTAAAACCCAGAAGGGATTCTACCTTGGGACTATATATCCATTTCTTCAGCCCTGCGGCCAAAGTTATTCATTAATAAGGCCCCCGAGAGCGCCCTGCCAAAGGGCAGGATGGCTTCCACATTTGTCACCGGGAACTCTGAACTCAAAAACAGGGATCAGGAGAAGGGGATGGACCCAGGACTTCTCCAACTTCTCCATTCATCAGATTCGCACACACCCCATCATTCACCCAGTACTAGGGAGCAAACTCAGAACTTCCTGACCCTTCTGGTTGATGTTTTTCCACTTCCCTGCCAAACAATCCCATTTCCCTGCCCTTTCCTAATTCTGCTTCTTCTGCAACCCCATCCAGGAGATACTCCCCACCCCACCCCCGTTGCTTTAGTTCCACCTATTGACTGATATTTTAACATGCCCTGAAAAGATTGGCATTTGTTTTGGAGTGGGTCGTGGGTAGGTGGGATCTCTTAACAGGAGAAGGCTGGGAACCAAGGTTTCCTAAGGAGACTCAGTGCAATTAAAAGGGAATTTAGAAGTGTGTGTGTGTGTGTGTGTGTGTGTGTGTGTGTCCTACTGCCTCCTTGGAGAAAGACTGCCGTTGTGCTTCCTCTTTAAACTCTAACTCCTCCTTCCCAGCCTCAGCCCCCCCCCCTCCAAGCCTTCCTAAGCAAGAAAGGGAGGCAGCTGAGCCACAACCTGTTTCTCTCTCGTGCTCCGAGCCTGTCCCTGCTGCTCCACATCTATCTTCCTCCGTTTTCTCCTATCCCTTCTTCTCTTTTCCTTTCCTTTTGCTTCGCTCCCCACTTCCTTGCTCTTCTACCCAATTGCTCTCTTCATCTCCCATCCCTTCCTCCGCATCTGTGGGTTTTCCCCTCCATCCGTCCATCCTTTCTGTTATCCCCCTTCTTTGCAAACTCTCTCTCTCTGCCAAGCATCCATCCATTCCTTTTTTCCTGCCCTTCATCGACCCACATCCCCCGCTCCCCTCCTTTGGGTGGTGGGTCCCTCCCTTCTCCCCTCTTCTCCTCTCTTCCCTGCCGTCTGTTTCTCCGGCACCCTTTCGCCTTTGTGGGTCAGGGCACTGGGGCTTCCTCCAGGGGGCAGCATGGCTCTCCTGAGTTCTCCCACCGAGACCGAATGCTTAACCAAGCCGCTTTTCTGCCGCAAGGGGGCGCTCCGCCAGAAGGTCATCCACGAGGTGAAGAGCCACAAGTTTACCGCCCGCTTCTTCAAACAGCCCACCTTCTGCAGCCATTGCACAGACTTCATCTGGTGAGAAACCCCAGCCCCTAATCCCTCCCCCATTTGCCTTTACCCTTGTGGCCCGTTTCCCAGTACTACCCAGCTCATGTTCTACAAGCCCGTGGTGGTTCGGACGTTATTCCTTTGCAAAAATTATTCCTTTTAAAAAAAATTACAGCCAGATGCTGGAAAAGTGCAGAACTGAGCAATAGATGCAGAATTAATATGCAGATTTTATTATTTACAGATTTATTTTTGGATGCACATCTGAAGTAAGTTTCTAGTCCTCTTTAGGAGGTTCAACCTTACGAGATCTGTAAATCAGAAGAAGGTTTGGCTTTTTGCATGAACAAATGAGGCGGCATGTGATTTTAAAATATGTATGTGTGTCAATCAATTAAAAGCCTGAATAAAAAAAAAATGTGAGAAAATGCCGAATTTGGTCAGGTCACAGATTTTACTGGTCCTTGCTGGAGAATTTCTAAAAATGTCAGAAGGACTTGCTGTCCATGTTGAATTACCTATGTTTTCTATGAGTGCTCCCAATTAGACAGGACCTAGCACTCTTAGCCAAAATATATTGAATGGTGATAACCACCTTTCCATATTTACAAGATTTTCTATACGGATAATGGATAATATAGAAAAACATATTTACAAGAAGAAAAAAGCCTTCTTAACTGCCTTGTAAAATTCTGTAAGTAAGGCAAGATATTTACACTTAAAGTACACTTTGCTGATAACAGAACTTTCTGTGCCAATGTATTTAACGATCTTAAATCAAGTTAATGATCTTGTCAAGCCCCAATTAATGGCTTCATGCATGTATACACCCTTTCCTTCCTTCCTTCCTTCCTTCCTTCCTTCCTTCCTTCCTTCCTTCCTTCCTTCCTTCCTTCCTTCCTTCCTTCCTTCCTTCCTTCCTTCTTGTTTTTCTGCAGCTCCATAGATTTTTGAGGTGCAAACTGATAGTTCAAAATGTATAACTCTGCTGCTCTAATTCTACCACTTTTAACCTCCTTAGCTTTGCCTCTTGAGGCTTCTGTTCTTCAAACCATAATTCCTTATTTTCATTTCTATTCCAGTCCACAATTTTACTTCATTGACTCAATAATCCTATTTATCTGTTCTTTATTCTGATAGTCCCCTAAACCTTGTGTTGTATTTGGCCCTCTTGCTGTCCTATAATCTGGGGTCCTACCTACTTGTAGTTGATTCCATCCATGATTTCATCTTAAACACTGAGATAGGTATGCCCTCTGCTCAGTTGGATTTCTGCTTTCTGAAAACGTAATTCTGTAACTGACCTGGGAAGTATACCACAATGTATTATAATAGACAAGATAATTTGTTTAAGAGGCTTGGCTCTGGATACTTCATCTTATTTCCCATGATTGAATGATTTAGATATTTCTGGTCATTTTTCTGCTGAGAATGCTATCTTCCATGTTACCCTCCATTTTATTCCACAGTATACAGTATATTTCTAGAGCTGATAAGCTCACAAGTAAAGTAGTGGGATTGATATGCTTCTAACTAATCAGCTGATGAGCTACAGATGCATTAACTGCTTTCATGGAGAAGATCATACAGAATCTCAAGAGGCTTTTTGAAAGAATCTGGGCACTTTATCATTGAAAAAATAATAATGTACAATGAATCTCCTCTGTGTTAAATAGGGAAGTAGAAGATGGGGCCTTCCTTCCCGACGATCTGTATATATTCCATTTCTACATGGATAATTCCAGCATTCAAAGTGGGTGTGACAGATAAAATAAGAAGATTGCAGTATGCGAAGAACAATGTGACCTGATTATGCCTCCCTCCACGGGGCAACCCTCGGACAGCAAATCTGCACTGGGAAATTAATTCTAGCAAGTAGCATGTCCTTGAATTCTCTGCTCCCCCCTCCCCAACCCCCCAGTCTCCAGCAATTAGTGACAACCTTCACACATGTTTTATTTCCTCAGCTGATAATGGATAGAGGAAATGTAGGAAAGGGCAATAGGTAGGTGCCAGTCCATTCTTGGTAAGGTTGGCAGGATAAATCAGAAAGGCTGGATTGCAAGACAAGGCATGGAGCCCAGGAATGTTATTTTCACTTAAATATTAGAGATGATTATCTAATTGATAAACCTCCCCCTCTTTCATCTTTCAAAGCAGGGTATATCCTCACTGTGACCATTCTCTAGTTCTATTAAGTTCAGCAATACAAAGATCTATTCTTAAACAGTATAGCTTGTTCTGTTTGGTGCCTCTGAGAGCCTGAACTATCTCCAGATCAGTGGTCTGATACCATCTCCCATTGTTTCTTCCAGTCAGAGCTTTAGAAAGAACACTTAGAACCCATCTCCCATTGAGACAAATAAGCCAGAATAGGCCAAAATAATTTGGGGAAATGTTAGCAGCTGTTCCTTTCATAGGTTCCCTTGGCCATCCCATTCTGCCATAAGCTTTCTCAAGCTTTGCAAAAATCATGATCTATATAACCGCTGTTTATTGACTAAACTACCTTTGGGTGGCTAATGAATTTGGTGGCCAGTTTCTAGAAGTTAAGGTGGTGGCCTAGAAACCAGGATGGTGAGTTCTGATCCCGATTTAGGCATGAAAGTCGGCTGGGTGAATTTGATGGTGAATTATACTTCATCCCCTTTGGAATCAAAGCCAGTTTATTGACTTTGGACCAGTCTTTTTAGGCCAACCTACTTTACAGGGTTAAACCACAATAAGATTTAATACGCTATGTAAACTAGGGTGTTTCACCCTTACTGAACACCTACAGGTTAGTAAAGATAAGATTATGGGGTTTTTTAAAATAGAAAGCTGAAAAGGTTTGGCTCTGTTGAGGTTCAACCAGGCATGCTGATGACTCCCTCGTATTTCACAGATACCTACAGTCACTTTTTTATTTAAAAGAAAGCAGCATTGGAGGCTAAGAATGTAAGTGGAGAGGGTGTATGTGTGAGCGAGTGAGAGAAGTGTGTACAGCATATGTGTGTATACATGAGAGAGAGAATATAAACCTATGAGCTCAACTCTTTTCATTGTAGAAATTTTTTCCAACTAATTTCTCCAGCAACAGTTCTCATTTTATAGACACAGAAGATAGAGACCTGCCTTGTCCACCCCTATTGGCTGAAGTCATTTTTAGGGCTGAAATGCAATATTTTCCTCCCGCTTCTCCCATTAAAGCTACTATTGTATCCAGATTGCTGATTGACCCAGAGAGCAAACTGAACAGTTCATCATATGAGTATTTACACGTTTTATCTTGCAAGGCCAAAAGCAGTTGTGTCCATAGATTGCATCTGTGTTTTTGTAGCCCAGCCTAGATCTAAATCTCTCCTTTTGCTTATCAGCTGTCACAATTTGTTCAAACTTCAAAACACAGATCCTATCATAGATCTCTGACATCCTGTCCTAAGCAGCCTTCAGAGTAACTCTCTCTTTTCTGTTTCTCTCTGCCAGTGTTTCCCAATCATTGCTGGCTGGGGAATTATGGGAGTTGAAGTAAACACATCTTCAAGTCACCATGGTTGGAAAACACTGGCATAAAGTTTTCCTGAGGTTCTGCTTTCTGTCCGAATGACATCTGAATAGGGCTCAATGCGAAGTATATTTTATGATGGCTACTTCTGGTATTCTTCATGTGACTTGCTCAACAACTCAGCAAGTGACACTAAAGCAACAGTAAAGAGGATTGGCCCAGTATGTGGGGAAAAAAATAGGTGGAAGAAGCAAAAACTCTGTTTGAAGACAGCTACATGGACGGAAGTAGCATTGAGTTAGTGTCAGGCCCTTGTTGAATCTCCCATCTTGGTTCATGACTCACCTTGTAGGCAGCATGGAAACAAGACTTTGCAATGATCAGCTCTGCAAACCTGCCAACATTTCCATCTTGTCAGAGGAGGACAAGTAGGATTTGCCCCTTAAACACCAGTTCTCACCCTTCTATACATCTGTTCCTCAATTTGTGATCAAAGTTGGGACAAGAACTTCCATTGCTAAGTGAGGCGGTCATTAAGTGAGTTGCACCCAATTTTGTGACCTTTATATTAGGGTTGTTAAGCGAATCACCATAGTTGTTAAGCGAATCATGCATTGATTGAATGAATCAGGCTTTCACCCTTGACTTGACTTATTGGAAGATGACTCAAATGGCGATCACGTGACTCCAGGACTGTCAACCATCATAAATACAGTGGCCAGTTGCCAAATACTTTAATTTTAATCATAAGATTGTGGCGATGCTGCGAGGATCAAAAGTGCAAGGATTGGTTGTGAGTCTCTTTTTTTCAATACGGTCATAACTTCAAACAGTTGCTAAATGAATGGTTGTAAATTGAGGACTACCTCTAATCCAAAGGGATTACATATATAAATCTTTCATAGTTTGAAATTCAGGTAAATATAATGAAAAGGGAGGGGATTCTAAAAACCTGAGACAGAAACAGCAAAAATGGATGACTTAACGCCGTAATCTGCAGCGAAGAAATGGAAATGTCAGGTTTCCTTTTCCAGGAAAAGTCAGTGGAATAGATTTTGAGGAAAATAGCACAGCAGTCAAATCTTAAAAGAGCCGATTGATAAAGGTAAGAGAAAGCAAAAACATTTCAGCAACCACAGGTAGGGAAAAGCCTGGCCAACTTCTTCTAAAAAGATGGAAGAGTAACTGGAAATTTACCACTGCGTAAGGTATGTTTGCTTCGCTCTTTTGCTGGTGAGAAGATTAATAGAAACAGAATAGTTCCTGCCTTTGTCTTGACAAGCCCCGAAAGACATAACAGAAATGGAAAAGGTGATGGGGAATGAAAAAGGGCTGAAAATTCACTTCTAAATTGCATCAGTTTCTGATAATAACTACTTGTAATGTTGGGAGAAGTTATTAGTGCTCATCTCATAAACAGCTATAATGGAAACCAGTAAAATTGCTGGTTTCTTTGCTGCCTGGTGACAGAGGGAGACGAATAAGAGCTCAGCGAAAGTGTTTGGCTTTTCAGCAGGGCTGTTGATGTCTCTGCCTCTCTTTG